TGACACAGGGTCTTGCCAGGTAGCTCATACTGGTCCCAAACTCACAGTCCTCTTGCCTCTGTCCCCCAAGTGCTGGGATTACAGGTGTGCACCACGGCCAGCTTCCTCTTTCAGTTCATTATAGCTCCTTTGTACTTCAGCACCCCAGTGTACATTTGTGGGGCTATGCCCTCCCTCCATGACATTTACCCCAAATGTAGTTGGCAGTTACTTGCTGGATGCTAGATTGGCCAGATGGTCCCCACAAACTAGGGCTGAATAAATGAATCCCCTTTCTCTTTTTCCGCTCTTCCAACACTTTCCATGGAGAATCAAGCCCTGTTTTGTGGCTAGGCCACCCCAACATATGAGGTTGTGCTTTCCCTCACCTAGGAAGACCAGTTGATAAAGTGCAGTCCAGCCCAGAGCTGAAGCAAGCAAAGAGCTGAAGGCTACCCCAGACCATGCTAGAGAGGATCCCAGAGGTAAGCCCATAAAGCTAAACAACATTTGTCTGTATGCAGGCTTTGGAAGTGTGCACAGTTCAGAAGCAGATTTAAATCATCCCTAAATTCCAACACCTTTTCAGTCAGGCAAGAGTTCCTGGTTTGCCCCTGCTTAGCACCCATCTATTGATCCAGGCAAGCTGCCCGTGCATGATACACAAAGGAGGGACTAGTTGAAGAATTAACCATATGGTCAGGAGTGACTAAAACTCCCCATTTCAGCAGGTTTGGCTAGGAAAGCTAATATTTGGAAAGTTGTGGTTTAATGAATTGGCAACTGATGGGAAATTCTAATTTGTTTTACATCTAGCAGATGACACTTAGCTCACTGTCAAACAAGAAAATCGTACATGTGTGGCTTATGCAGTCTGATTTTCCTGTTCCTGATCTGCTTGGCTTCAGAGTTGGAAGCTGGAAAGGTCATGTGTTTACCACAGAGCTCCTTCAGCTGAGGATGCTGTGCAGTCACAGACCATCAAGACTTAATGGCGACGTTATTGACTTCAGACTTGTAACTTAGGAGTAGAAGGGTATGGCAGGGCAGTCAGGAGTCTAGGCAAAAAAGGCCCAGAATAATTACTGTTCTCGAGATCAGGGTTGGGGCTGCTGGCCTGTACGGCCCCCTTAAGCAAATTAGCAAAAGGTGTGTCCTGTGAGATTCAACCCAACCCAGCATGCTTTTGGCCAGCACAGCCCAGGCTAGATTTTAACACCCCTCACTCTCCTCCCATCCATGCGATCTGTGTACAACTTTGGTCTTGCCTTTTATAAGCATCTAAATATTTTAACTATAAACCAAGGATAAAACATTATCGGAAGTCTTATTTGAAACAGTATCATTTAATACTTTCACCTACAATAGGTAATGAATGCTAAAACATACCCTTAGATTATAGATTAGATAAAAATACATTATTCTACCATTTTCTACAAAATGATCATGAATTGGCAAACTGAATGGAAAAAATTATTAAGCAGATTTGAGATTACCTGAAAATGGTTAGTTCCTTGTAAAGATTCAATAAAATCTATGTTTATTAAATAACTGCTAGAACAAACAGCTGCAACAAATATGAAACTAGGAAACATATTTGCTTAAAGGCATTATTTATTCGTCACACTGGTGACTCAGAAATATTAAAAGTTTGGAAATGCTTGGTTGTAAACAATAAGTACATTAAACAGAAATTCTAAGTCTATTTCTTAAAATAGACTCACCTATTCATTTGTATGAATAAGTTAGCTCTAAAAAGAAGAGCCACAAAGAAACAAGGACTCATTGTGGAAAGGACGTTGAACTTTTCCTTTTAGAAAGTAAAGAGAGAAAAAAAAGCACAACCATAGCAGCTTATTTGGCTTGGGTAACTACCACGTGGCACATTTTACATGACATGAGAAAGAATGGTCAAAAGTGCTCAACTTTCTGGAAGCCAACTCAAAACTCGAAGAAAAGTAGCATTTTTGGATTTTACACAATAGATTCCATTTATTATGAAAATGAAATCATGGACCTTGCTCATAGTCATTTTCTCTCAGAGGTGTAGGCACTTGGCAGCAGACTGTTGCCAGTCTAATAAAACTGAGGTGAAAAAATAATTTTGCAGTATAAACACAAACCCTATGATTGAATTCAACAAAGAAATGAGCAATGTCTTAGTGTGCACAATATATCCACTCTGAAAAATACACATTAGACTAATCTGGTAGAAGTGCAGTGTGTTCACTTGCTGAAGACCTACAACAGGGAAGGCAAAAATCTCAGAGCCATAGTCTGAGTCTCATATTTTTTTTTCCTTGTGATGCCAGAGATCGAAACCAGGGCCTTGTACATACAAGCACTCTATCACTGAATACAACTCTAGCCCCCATATTCTTCTTTCTGTTTAAACCATGCTCTTAAAATGTTAAGTAACAGGGCTGGTGGGGGGGGGTAGCTCAGTAGTAAAGTGCTTTAAAAGCCTGTGCAAGGCCCTGGGTTCGACCTCTAGCACCTTCCTCCCCCAAATAAGTACCATTGCAGACTGTAGCTTGCCAGCCCTGGTCTAGAGTCCTTTGATATATAACACATTTTCCTCATTTCCTTTCAGGTTGAAAATCATCTCAGGATGAATATTTATAGGGAGCTACATTTATATGCTCAAAACATCTAGTAAGTATGCTTTACTGCAATCTTAGAATAAATCCTACAGACTCAAAAGTGAGGATTTGTAGATCTGACATTGCTTTTAGGAGCTTTATGGCATCCTGTGACTATGCAAGTCACCAGTGACTAAATCCAGCTCAAGTATCATCAATATGTTCTTCAAAGCAAGGAGGCAGGTCACAATGAGTAGAGTATGGCGTGACCTGAGCTAGCAGAATTGGGGATTTCGGGTCACTTGCAGGCCTGTAACTGAATTCCTTGATTTGGATTGTAGGGCTTTTAGTATGAGATATGGTGATAAGGATAAATGAGACGTGGGGACACAATATTAGAAATCTACAGGCATTAAGATGTCATTGGCACTGCTTAGCTTTTACTCCAGATGGTGCAATGTGTATGACAACAGAATTGTGTAACTAGTGACACTGATTCAATTCTTTAGGGACATGTCTCATCCTTAGCAGCTCTGTATCAGAGAAAGGACTATGCTTGGTGAGATGTGCTATCCCTTATAATGTGCCCTTCTCCTTCAATAGCTTCAGGGTTTCAATGCAAACTTCTATAGTCTGAGGCCAGACTCGTTTATCTTCAGTTTGAATTTCAGGTGAAGCAGCATCAGTATCAGTATGACGCTGACTGGGCTGACAGCCCCGGAGAGGTGGTTAAAGTCCTGGGACGAGCTCACACAGACCTCTCAGCACCCCAGCCCTCCAACATGGAGCTACAATTAGACATTAAAAGGAAAAGAATGAGCCAGGGATAGTGGCAGCACCTGTAGTCCTAGCTATGTGGGAAGCTGACGTAGGGTGATTGGGGGTTTGGGATCTGGGTGAAATAGAGAGATCCTATCTCAAAAAACAAAACAGGGCTGAAAGAGTGTGGCTAGTGGTAGAGTACACAGGCACGAGATCTTGGGTTCAATATCCAGTACTGCAACAAACAATAAAAAAATTTTTTAAAGGAAAATATGTTCCCTCCCCCCTCACCTCAGAGGTCCTCCTTCTTAAAGAAATTATGCAGATTAAAATGTGGCATTAAACTTTTCCAGTCAGATGCATCATGATGACATTATGATTCCTTTTTTAAATTTTACAGCTCCTTCCATTATGGGGTTTCAATACATTTAACCAAATTTTAATTATTTGGAAATGGTTAGAGCACACTGAAAAACAAGACAAGATGGTCAAACTAATGATAATGTATCTCTGATATGATGCAAGCTGCAAAGAGCCACATGGTTGCTGGTTCCAATTATAACCCATTGTCTTTGAAACATCAGTTTTACACAAATGGTATCCAACAGCACATTATAAACCACAGGCCAAAAGAATTTCCTAGCATGTATATGTGGAGTTGGGAGTTAAACTGTCAAATTTAGCAACAAGTCAAGAGCTGGTGACTCATGCCTGTAATCCTAGCTAGTCAGGAGGCAGAGATCAGCAGGATCAAGGTTTAAAGCCAGCCCTGGCAAATAGTTCAAGAGACCCTATCTTGAAAAAACCCATCACAAAAAAAAGCTGGTGAAGTGACTCAAGGTTAGGCCCTGAGTTCAAACCCCAGTACCGGAAAAAAAAAAAAAGCAAAACCCCTACAAATTTAACCACAAATAATTCCTTTCAAGAACAAAATAATATGGAACTCACAGGACTCAGAAGAAAACCTTAAAATAAATTTTAGGAGCATTGGCTAAATTCAGAAGGTGCTGGTATTATAGCAGAATTTAATTTTTATAGACAACCAGAGATTTTTATGTACTGCATACTGAAGTTTTGGTTTATTAATTTCTGACTCATGCCTCCTTTACTTAGTATAAAAAAACAAACAAACAAAAAAAACCACTCTTTATGTAAAGAAAATCCAGACTGTCCTAGAATTTGGCATTTAGGCTAAGCTATAGTATTTGATCTACTTGCTAAACCAAATACCACTATTTGGGTTCTCATTTACAGATTATTCAAAAATGAATAATCCTCTTAATCATTAGTCTATTACAAAGATAAAAGAGACCACTTCAACTGGCAGTGATGTTCCATGACAGCCAAGGTTGCAGGGCAGCAGGAAGAGTGATCAATCAGATTAACACAAATGTCTTTCAGCTAGCTTTTCCTTAAAAAAACAAAAAAGCCAAATTGCTTTCAGTTTTCCAGAGTGAACATGGAAACACAGGATATTCAAATGTGAAGGAAATTGCCTCTTCCAAATCTTTACAAAGTGTTAAATGTTTTGCTTGGGGCTCACGGTTGAACACCTTTCACATCAGGTGACATGCAAACAAACCATTATTTGCTCAGTAGGAAACAGGCTTTTTTTTGGCATATGCTGGTTAACAGGAAGTTTTCTAAGCAAATGAAGGGAAGGGAGGGTGGAAGACATCAATCCCTGGAATGTCTACCCAGAATTCAAGAAGGAAAAGAGCACCATTGTATAAAGGTAAATTAGCCGCAGCCAACAGGTCAGCCGTGATTTCCACACAAGGGGCACAGAAGTCTTCAGTGTGTTACTTTGTTGCTACTTGGAAAAATGAAGACTTCACCTCCTACTTCTGCTCAACACATCTAAAATGTATTATGTGGGTTTTCATGCAATCTATGCTCACAACAGACAAAGATTTTTGAAGAACTGGCTGTCTGGGATGCAGATACTTCTTCAGTGAGGTCTTGCACAGTGTGGTGGTGGCGGGTGACTCACATATTCAACAAACTGCTTTAAATGGCCACAGCTGTATACATGTAATCTCAGTTTAATACTGCAGAACCTCAGTGTTACAATGCTTAGCAACAATGTCACAAAGGATGTATCTTTCTTCCTATACATAGATTCTTTATGCAGAAGAAGATATGAACAGTATAAAGATAAAATGGTGTGAGACAAATGAATTCATTAAGAAGGGATAGCCCACAGCAGTTGCAGGTCGAATGTAGCCAGAAGTCAGAATTTAAAGAAAGAATACTTTTTTGGACAGCACTGGAACTGTTTGGTTTTATACCTTTTTTGGTAAGTGGTGTTTTTGCTAGAAAAGTGGGTGAAGTACCTGCCTAAATGCAGGTTGGCATGCTAAGGGAAGGAAAATAGTTCTTGGGCCAAAACTAAGGCCAGTAGATGAAGAAAACATTTTTTTGGTTTTAAAATGTTCTAAGGCTTCTTATTGAGTATTGGAAGAAGGAGAGAAGTGTTTTACCAACTTGAGTAAGAAAACTTGAAGCCGCAGCTCAGGAGGTAATCATTAGATATTAAACATCTGTTCCTTCATTTTTTGTGAAGTGATTCAATTTAAATCCAAATTAGAACTAGCTGCTTTTACTGCTGTTTCTTAGTGCTCTAAGTTTTGGATGGTGTATAAAGTATGTCAGAGCTATTTCTTATATCTATTTCCCTCAAAAAATGAAGATGCAGATATTTTAATTAGCTTTGTATAAATAGGATCCTGACCATTTTACCTTTAGTTAACTTGATATGATTCCTTGGGCTTAACTTATAGCCTCTTTGAGAAATGGAAAATAGTATAAAATGTAAAAAGTCAAACTTTAATGACATTCCCTGATAACGTCAAATAAATTAAGCTAGGAGGAAGAAATATGGGTAAGCTAGACCACCAGTCATGCTTGCCTAAACAAAAAACAGTGATAACTTAAAGGTCTGAAAAGACCAAAGAAAACAGAGCAACTACTTATAAGTGGCTGGACAGCTTCTACAGTTGTACTGGTAGAGCTTCAAAAAGAATACTGATGACCCACTCGCTCTAATCCTGGGAGGTGACAAGTATGGAACCCAGTGGTAGGTCTGAACTTGCTCTGATATTCCAACTAGCACCAAAACAGTGAAGAAATACTAGTTAGCTTTTCTCTCTCTTCTCTTCCTTCCTTCCTCTTTTCCTTTTCCCTTTCCTCTTCTTTGTTTTGTTTAAATCTTGGAAAACCATTCATGAGATTACCATGACAATATAAATCAAGGCTGACACAGCTAAGTGCTGGCACAAAGCTGACCATCTAGATATGGGGTTTTGCCAGTTCTTAATGACTGTTTTCATTATATAATCAAATATTAAGAAAGACATAATTTACATGCAGCCTTTGTCAAAAAAGAGAAAAAGGTTAATTTCCAAAGACTAGCACAAACTGCTAACCTGTTAAGAAAAGCCCAATTTCCTTAGCATTCTAGAACATAACACATCACATATGTTTCTTTATAAACATCTTAAGATGAAGATGAGGAGGACTAATGAGATAAAGCCAGGAACTAAAACACCCAACAGGCCCATTCCTCGTTCTCCATGTGGTTGGCAGCATCAGTCAGAATGCCCTCCTCTTGTGATGGTCATGATGAATTTACACATGTAGGTCTTGTGGGAGGTCTGATTTAGCCTTCGGGGCTTATGGGAGGTGTCTTCTGTTTTCTTGGTAGAATAATTCATCAGTGCTTCCTGAGAGGCTCAAACATGATCACTGGCCAGATTCCAAAGAGAAACTGTGGAAACAAGTAAGGACAAAATCAGAGAAGATAAGATGGTTCCATGCCTGAAAAGGAATGAGAAAGAACCCATGCGGCTGGGACTACAGGGCTCGGCAGGTTTGCTAGTGACTATCCTGGTATTAGTAGCCTGGGCACAGCATAATCCTTCCAGATGCATACCAGATCTCAGAAATTATTTCAGTTAAATTTTTAAAAGGTATTATCTACTCTGTTAAGCATGGAAGTAGGCATTTAATTTGTAATTCTCAAAACAAGTCTTCAATGTAGCTATTAAAAGTTCCATTCTAGAGTTGAGTAACAGGCTGAACAAAGAGACTTATTCAAAACCATGTAGTAGTAAATGCAAGACTTCAGTTGTGATGTCTTCTGGTTCCAAAGCCTGTGCTCACTCCACTGCCTCTCCACACCCCCTTTCATCTCCTCCATCCATCCCGATACCTGCTCTGCCAACACACAGACACATACAGAGACAGACAGACAGACAGACACACATATCTAGGACATGGACTTACCTTCACTTTTGGTCTGTATCTCAGGTAAAGTGTTCTTGTATATAAACTGAAAGAAAAGGGAGCAGGGGAAGCTCTTCAGATTAATTTTTAATTCATACAAACTGACAAATTCTAAACATAGTGCCTTTGTAGATACAAAGATAAAACAACATTGGTATATGTTTTGTTCATTATTTCCATCATTTTTTTTTCACCCTCTTCTCTGAAATACTCAAATGTTACATTAGTCAAGGATTTAACCTGGGGTGGTAAATATTGAGTCTCATTTCCCTCATTTGACAGCTGTGGACTCTGGAGTCCCTGAAATTAGGTGAGTTATAATACAACTGCATTTACCTTCCTATGGATACTGTAACAAATGACCACAAACTCAGTTGATTAACACAACACAAAATAACTTTGGAAGGCCGAAATGGGCTAGCGGGGCTGCATTTGTTCTGAAAGTCTAGGCAGAATTTGTTTCCTTGCTTCTTCCAGATTTTAGGGGATGTCTGAGTTCCTTGTATGGTGGCTTGACCTTACTTTAATCTTGTTCTCTGCCTCTGACCCTCCTGCTTCCATCTTATAAAGTCCTTTGTAATTATATTGGGTCTACCCAAATGATCCAAGATAATCTCATTTCAACATCCTTAATTAGGCCTTCTAAGTCCCCTGTACTCTGTAAGGTGCATATTCACCATTTCTTGGGATTAAAATGTGGACGTCTAATGGGGGCCATTATTCCGCCTCTTACAGAAGTATTGGTTGCACTTGTCACTGATGATATCTATTAATGTCCTGGTGTATAAGTAAAACATTTTATTGTCACTTAGGTTCTTCATATGTGTGTTTTCTGATTTCTTAGGAGTCATGTGTCCCTCCAAGTTTTGAACTTCCCACATGATAGATGCCTAAGTAATTTGGACCCACTTTGATTTCACCTAAGATTTTCTTGTATTAGAAGATGATACCAGTGTGGATTCCTAATATTCTTCTCCACAGAATACACACAGCAACTTCAAAACTTTACACGGGATAGTGCCAACAGCATAGTTTTAAAATGGCTATTGTATTTAAAGAACAATGTATAAAATAAATATTTAATCTTGCTTAAAAGGAAAGAAACCATGTTTTTGAGCACCTACTCTGCAAATGTTTGGCAAGATATTAAGGAAGACAAAGAAATGATGAATTCATACAGTGTAGTCTTAGGATGTGTGGAGTTTAGTAGTGAGAAACCTATTAATGCTTGTTACAGTTCTATCACAGTTAGCTCTTCACTTCTGAAGATACATAGTAGTAGGCATGGGAAACCCAGAAAAGTAACAGAAAGTCTCCTTAGTATTCTTTAACATGAGTCACTGCTAGAGATGAGATGAGATTTTAAAATAATGGCATGTGACAAAGCATATTTGAATTTACCCCTGAAAAGTTCTCATTGACCTGTAACATATGTATTTTACAGCATATGTATATGCTATAGCATGTGTAATTTTATGTATATATGATATTTAAATGTATTTGAATAGTATCATACAATACACCATGAGAACATACACAAAACATAATTTTATAGTATTTCAAATAAAGTAAAGGTCAAAGAGCCTAATCATTGAATTTGTGTTATGATTTTTATTTTTTGATTTTTGGAAACAGAGTCTCACTATGTAGCCTCCTGCTTCCTGAGTGCTGAGATTGTAGGTGTGTGTCACCACATCTTTCAAATTTGTGCATTTTAATATGGCTATGATGTACTTTGCTATACCTAAAATGGGAACTAAAGCACAGCAGCTTTGGGCATCCTTTTTGTGTACCTGTTATCTCTTAGACTTAGACTTGTTAGGTTTTCTTAATCTTACTAATCATTGTACTCTGAAATATTTTATCCAACAACTAAAAACTAAAAAGTTGTTTTTACCAGAAAATTTGTTTGCAATAGCCTAGGCTGATAGTACTGCAAAAGGAGGTCCTGAAGCTGGGCATAGTGGTGCACATCTGTAATTCCAGCATTTGGGAGGTAGAGACAGGAGGATCACCATTTTGAGGCCAGCCTGGGCTATGTAGCTAGTTCCAGAACAGCCTAGGATACATAGTGAGACCCTCTCTGAAAAAAAAGGATGTTTTGTTCAATTTAATCATTTCAACACTCTATTGAGTATTTAGCAGATTAGGAAACAGAGCTAAGTAAATAATTTGGCTCAAAATTGTTACATAGTTATGAAATGATGGAGCTAGAATAGGGACTTAGAGACTGCTTTTACTAAAAAGCAGTGGCACTTTGCTTGGGCCTGCCGATGTTCAATGGATAACTAAAAGCAGGATAAAAGGTAAGCATCTCTGCCTTCCTTCTGTACCTGTCTCCTTTGCCATCTTAAATTTTTGTCAAATTCCTACTCAAATTGTCATGTAGACATGCTAATCACTTAAAGAGTGTTCGTCAAAAGCTGGTAATCTTTCTCCCTCCCTACTCTTCAAGGCTGAGGGACCAAGCTATGAGTAGTTAAGATAATTTTGAGATTTGCAGGGACATCGTAATCAACAGATTTACAAAGAAGTCTTCAGTCATGGCCCAATACCAGTAGATCTAACTAACTCCACCTTGCCTTTCTGACTTGTCCTTTCTGAGTTTTTCTCTCTTGTAGTTACCTAAGGACAATTGGTATGATCAATAGGTCTTGATTGATGATCATCTTATCATCATCTTATAGACCCAAAATTTCCATAAACTGAAGGTCAAACATCTAAACTTCTTTTATTTTAGTTATTTAGGATAAAGTGTCTCTAAAACATATTTTAGTCTTCTCAGTTTTCACAATGAGAGTAAAACATTTAAACATTAACAGAAAGAAAAAAGCTCTCCTTTTTAAAATTCAAAACTGGTTTCAAACCTATAAAAAAACAGCGAGATTGATATGATGAATTCCTGTAACTCCTTCACCCAGATTGTAATCATCATGTAACCATTCAGTCAATCGACTCACCCACCTACACATACACACACACAAACACGCATGTAATTACATATATATTCCAGTTTTTGTGTGAAATGGTGCTCCTTCATCCCTAACTATTCTGGTGTGTACTGCCACAAAACAGGGGCACTCTCCTAAATTCCCCTAATACAACCCTTCTAAACAGGAAATCAGTAATACCATTCATTAATAATACCATCATTTTGTAGAATGACCTTCAACCTAGGGCTTCAATGTTTCTCATGACCAGAGCCAATCCATGAATTTCTGGTTCAAAAGAAATTTATTTTTCCCTTTTCTACAAAAATTTTAGCTCTCTCAATTCCTGAGAAGAATTTGAGGTTAAATATAGCCTGATCCATATATATATATATATATACTCACTCATTAAATCATTTAACAATTTAGACTGAGTGATTATTATGTTCCAGGGATTTGGGAGATAGCAGTGAATAAGATAAAGCCCTGGTGTCAAGTATAGTTGGGGGAGGAAGACAAGGGTATGGTGGTGCATGCCTATAATCCCAGGTGAGGAGCAGGAGGATCTTGGTTTGAAGCCAGCCCAGGTAAAAAGTTAGTGAGAATTCATTTCAACAAATAAGGCAGGTGTGGTGTGGTGGTACACACCTATCATCAAAGCTATTCAGGAGACATAGCTGGAAGGACCTTGAGGTCTGAAGCTGGATCCAGGCAAAAAACACAAGACCTTATCAGAGAAAGGGCTGTGAGTATTCCTTAAGTGGTAGAATGCCTGCCTAGTAAGGGAAAAGCCCTGACGTCAACCCTAATATGGGAGGGTGTGGGGAGAAGAAGTCTGATAAGGGGAAAGAAGGTGATATGGAGGAATGACTGAATGAGACGACCAGTGAAAACTTGAGTCCATTTTTGCTGCACATGACTGACCGTCAACAGATCCTATTAGGGGGACACAGGGAGAGAGGTGGCAATCAGTTTATTTCTGGGAAGGGATTTCATAAGGTCACCCAATGGCATAGGTAAAGCTGGAACACAAATTCCTGATTCTGTCTCTAACATTTTATACTTACACCACCCAATTTGAAGAATAAGGGAGAAAAAAAGCAATACTAGGTTAAAAAAAGTCTCTCTTTCCTACCTGAAAAGGATGTGAAGATAAGAACCGAGGCCAGTTAAAATATGCCACCATGCGTGAAACTGTGTGGTAACACCTAGGATAGGTGGCACCTTCTTTCGAAAGTTCCTATGTGGACAAGGGGGGAAAATCACCATGTTAAAATTTAAAGATTTTTAGCACTAGTGATGACATTGTCAAAACATTTTGAAGTACCAGTCTGAAATATGACAATTATTTAAGTCTGCTGTGGTGTTTCCCAAAGTGTATTCAGAGGAATAGAATTCCTAGTAGAAATTTCATGAAGACTCAAATTAATACGAGAATCATTAGTTAATGGTCCCTTAAGAATTTTTAATGCATATTAATTAAAGACTGTGAAAAGTCCTACCATAAGGAAAAGAGTTATCTTCATTTTTATCTTCCTTTTTTTCAGGTAATTTACTAATCCATGGAACATGTTTTTTCAGGTAATATTAACACTTCATGAAACAACTATTTTCTGGAATACACTTTAGGAAACACTAGTTAGCTATCCACTCAAGAAGGTGGATACATGTGTTTCCTATCATCCTGGTATATCACTATACAGTGTACAAATTACTTTCGTATCTATGATTTCACCTCATAGTCCGTGGTTCTCTGGGAGGCTATTGTTAGCTTTGCTTTACAGAATAAGAACTTAAAACTTGGAGAGATTAATTTAGTTGCTCAAGTAACTAAAACTTCTTTTCAGGGCCTTGATATTTCTATATGTCTGTGAAATTCTCTGCTTAATACAATGCTCCCAAAAATATTTTAGAAGGAATGAAAATATATCTTACCTTAGTGAATCACAAAATATGTTATCTATATTCCAAAATAAAAATCCCAATAAAAATATACCCAAGGATGTATAACCCAATCCTCTAAGCCATGGATAAACCCTGTGGAGAGTAACAAAAGCAAAATGAAAAAAATTTAAGTATTGTCAAGATCACAGCTTGAAGTTAATACTTTCATGAGTATTAAAAGCAAACCCATCTGTTCAATTCTTATTTTATTTTCATCTGTTAAATTCTTTAATGCACTTGCCAAAGACAAATATACACAAATATATGTCATATATATAATAATAATAAATTAATTTTCTGACATGAATCTTGCTATGTGGCCCAGACTGGTATTCTAGCTTCTGGGCTCAAGTAGTCTTTTGGCCTCAGCCTCCACAGTAGCTGTGACTATAGGGGTCTATCACTGCACCTGGACAACTGGCAAATATATTTAGTCATTAAAAAGTACTGAGAGAGAAAGGGCCACCAAGCTTTTGTTAAAAATACTAGGAAGGTACTCTGATATATTTATCCAACAACTTTTTCCATGCCATGGAAGAGAAAAGGGAATGGTGGGTTAGAATTAACATGGATTGAGTCACGTGTTGTCAGGCACTGAAGTTAAAACACACATACCCACACACACTAAATCATTTCATAATATGTACTGAGTGCTTACAATGTGCCACGCATTTGAGTGGGTAGCAGTAAGACCAAATCCCTGCTTTCAAGAAACTTATATTACAGTTGGGGGGGGGTAAACAAGTAAATAAATACATTACTAGTTCTAAATGGATTGAAGAAAAACAAGGCCTGATAAAGGAAGAAAGGGTAATATGGAGGTATTACTTGGGTGGAGTACACCCCCCAAAAACTTCATCTAAATCTTGTGAGATAAGTATTATTCTTTTCATTTCACTGATGAGGAAACTGAACGTTCATGAGTTTCCCAAAATAATAACAGCAGCTTATTTACTTTGTATAGCTTTAATGAAATAGACTGTATATATTAAAAATGTACATCTGCACATTACCACAATCAAGATAATGCATGTATCTATCACCTCCAAAAGCTTAGCTTGCATTTTTTTGAATGACATCACACCATATATACCCTGCACTATGGCTCCTTTCATTTGGCATGTTGTTACGAATATCAGTGCTTCCTTTTATTGCTGAGTAGTACACCATTGTATGGATATAGCACAACTTGTGCATCTGTCCAGATATTGTACACATTTTCATTTCCAGTTTTTGACCATAATAAATCATCTATGAATATTCATAATTAAGACCCTGCATGGAAATATGTTTCATTTCTCTTGTGTGAACAGAACAGCAACAGCTGTGTTGTTCAGCAGATATATCTGGCTTTTTAAGTACCACCAAACTGTTTCCTTTTTTTTCCTTGATGGCCCTGGGGATCAAACCTAGGGCCTCACACATGCTAGATAGCAGGCTGTCACTGAGCTACTCAAGCTACTCCCCATCTCCTGAACTGATTTCCTAAGTGATGGTACCAATTTACCTTTGCACTAGCCATGTATGAGTGTTCCAGTTCCATATCGTCATCAGCACCTGGTATGTTGGTCTCTTTCATTTTAGCATTCGAGCAATGGTATCTCTACTAGTGTAGTGGTATCTCTTTCATTTGCCTAATGATTAATATTATTAAGCATCTTTTCATATACTTGTTTGCCATCCATATATCTTAGATACAGTTTGTCTAATTATTGAGTTGTAAGAGTTCTTTATATATTTTACATGTAAGTCCTTTGATGGATATATTTATATATAATGCAGATATTTTCTCTAACTTTGACTTGCCTTTCATTTTTTGAACACTGTCTTGAACACAAGTTTGTAATTTTTTTGAAAGATAGGGTGTCACTTTGGTTGCCCAGGATGGCCTCGAACTCTTGGGCTCAAGTGATCCTTCTTCCTTAGTCTCTTGATTAGCTTGGTCTATAGGTACGTATCACCTGGTCTGGTTAAAAGTTTGTAATTTTGATGAAGTTTAATTTATCTATTTTTTTCCTTATATAGTTTGTTTTTTGTGTCCTAATTAATAAACCATTCTCCAAAGTCTGCAAAAGACTTCTGTATTTTCTACCAGGACTTTTATAACATTAGCTTTTACATTTAGGAGTATGATTCAGTTCTATTACGTTTTTATAATGGGGCTGGGGATGAAGCTCAATGGTAGCATGTTTGCCTAGCGGGCACAAGCCCTGGTATGAACACCAACACTAAAAAAAAAAAAAATGATGGTATGAGGCTCATTTATTCTCTCCTATAAGAATACTCAGTTGTTGCACTGGACAGGGTGGCACACACCTCTAATCCTAGCTGCCTGGGAGATGGAGACAGGAGAATTTGGTATTGAAGATCAGCCTGGGCAAAATTAGTGAGACTCTATTTGGAAAAAAACAAAATACAGCTCAGGGCATGGCTCATGTGGTAGACAGCTTGCCTAGCTAGCATATATAAGGCCCAGTTTTCAATCCCCAGTACTGAAATAAAAAAAAAAAAAATCAGCTGTACCAGGGTAATTTGTTGAAAAGATGATCTTTTCTCAATTAAAATAAAATATTTAGGCTTTTAATTTAAGATCAAATCAGTATGAGTGTTTTGGTCTTTGTTTGGTTGTTCAATAAATGTGTGTGCTAGGGATGAACCTAGGGCTTTGTGCATGTTAAGCACACTCTACCACACTAAGCAAACCCCTCCCCGCAACCCGTCCTTTAACTTTTGCTCTTTTTGTTTTGGCTATTCAGGATCCTTTCCATCCCAAGCATATGTCAAAAGTCAAGTTTCTCAATTTCTATTAAAAACGTGCTGAGATTTTGATTGTGATTGTATTGAACTTGCAGATTCACATCTTAACAATATTGAGTTTTCTAGCCCATAAAAGGGTGTATCTCTCTATTTATTTAGGTCCTTTAATTTCTGTCAGCAAAAAAAATGTAGTTTTCAATGTACAGGCCTGTTACCCATTTGTAAATAACCCTAAACATTTGATGATGTTGTAAACTATACTTTAAAAAAATCTCATTTCCCATTTATTTACTGCTAGTACATAGAAATACAATTTTTGTTTAAATACTGACTAGAATCTTATGACTGCTAAACTTCACTCATTGCTTCCAGTAGTTTCTTGGCAAATGTTCTGTGAATTTTCTGCATACAACTGTGTTATCTGCTATTACTATGTTGGACATGACTTCCACAAGTGTGAGGCTGCATGAAATGGTAATAATATAATATCCTTACTCTTTTGGTAGCATATAATAGTTATACAGGGAGAATACACTGTGACATTTACATATGTGCTTACAATAGATCTTGATTAGATTCAACCCCTCCATCATTCACCCTCTCCCCCTTATTTTATTCTGAATGTTAAAGAAAATTTAAAAAACATATCTTAATTATTTTAGCTATAAAGTTTATAGCTTTAAAAAATTCCCCATTATTACTAGTTTATAAGGCCCTTTGTTTGTTTTTTAGGTCATAAATAGGTATGGGATTTTACAGAATGCTTTCTGTAAATCTATAGGTATCATGCAGTTTTTCTTCATTTTTAAAATATGGTGAATAGCAATAATCAGCTTTTCAAATATTTTATTATTTTAACTACAAGTGTTTGCATATAAGTGAATGTAAAAGCAATTAATTCAGAAACCATTAGGAAAGCACAAACTGACTATGTGTGGAAGGGGCACCATTAGTCTTTGTTAGATGAAGGTTCTCAAGAAAAGATGAATTTAAGAAAGTCAAAGTCTGGTTTCAGCTTTTCAGAGAGTTTATCACAATCCCCATTTGTGGAAGACAAGAAGGAGTTCCAGGGAACAGACGGCTCAACACAGAGAGGGCACCTGACAGGATGGAAGTGTGGGCCAGGTACAGAAATGTGATAGCAATATGATCATTGGGAGTGGAGTGCTGTCTGCTTTCTGCTTCTACACTTACTTACCATGACCAATCTTCAGCTTTCAGGAGTAGTTCAAAGCAAAATTCTTCTGGGGGTGAAATGGTTATCCAGGTAGCAGGGCACAGAGAAGAGAGTAAGAACTTCATCAGCACACGATCCATGCAAGCCAAGTATAGACAAGATTTTGGAGACATACTACCCACGTATCATCAAGTGCAAAAGTGTAAATTACAGAAGGCCCTCAAAGTATCTGTGCTTGCAGACACAGGGCTTCATGCTGGACTGGCTGTTTGTCTGGTGTAGAGCTATCTTCTGATAGTCCCTTCCTTTCACCTCTACCTTGGAAACTACCTTCACTTCTCTTTTGCGGTAGATATCCTATTTTAATCCCATGCCTTGCTTTTTTTTTTTTTGTATTACTCTCTCATAATTTTCTAATAGGAGGATGTTCCTGAACAATAATTTATGGGATTTAATTTTTTGAGAACTTCAACATATGAAAAAATTTTTTCTTCATATTTTGCTTGGTTAGAAATCATTTTTCTTTAGAGATTTGAGGGTATTTGATCCAGTCATCTACTTTCTAATGCTGCTTTTGCAAGTTCAAAGTAATTCTAACTTCTAACCCTACCTCCAAGGAACTACTTCAACTACATCCTACCATGATTTGTATATAATTCCATTCTAAGTATTTTCAAAATTTCCACAATGATTTCTTTTTTCACTTACAAGTGTGGCATGTGTGGCTCTTTCTCTCTCTTTTGAAATAGGATGTCCCCATGTTGTCAGGCTGGCCCTGAACTCCTGAGCTTAAGGGATCCTTCTGCTTTAGCCTCCTATGTATTTGGGACTACAGGTGCACACCACTGAACACAGCTAGCAGTGTGGTTTTAAGTTTCCAAAAAGTGTGGGCTATTTTAACAAATTCTGTTCTATTTAAACTAAATATACTATATTCACAGAACATGTTGTACTTGATGCTAATTAAAGTTTGTTAAGCCTTGCTCTAAAGCTAGTATCTGGTAGCTTTAATAATTATTTTGTGTATGCCTGAGAACACTGTGCATTCCTTAACTGTATTAAATCATTGTTATTGTATTCCTCAAATTTTATCTATATCCTTATTCAATTTTTTGTATGAGTTACTGTACTAAAATATCTCTGCTGATGGAGCAGTATC